TTGTCACTTCCTTCTCATTCCTAACCAACAACAACATTTACCTTAGCTTCACCTTTCATTTGCTAAGGTTTCATATTTTTTTCTTTAAGTATTATGGCTGTTGTCGTTCAGCAACATGCCAAGCATATGAAATGACATAAAGTCAAGAAAATAACATATGTTATGTTCTTGAATTTATTTTCGAGGGAGCTACACAATACCAAAATCTGCCTATCCTAATTTTCCTATCATTTATATTAACCCACTAAATCATTCTCGTAAGCCATATAATTAGCTATGTTCTTGTATTGTTAATGAATTCAAATTTATCCAAATATGTAGAGGATTGTACTACCTTTCGTCTGTTCTCCCCTTACTCTCTCTCTGACTTTTACTTGTATAAGAATAAAATCTTAAGCAGCCAATGAAATCCTTGTCATAACCAGAGTTTCTGTGTAATTTCTATTCTCTTCGAGCAAAATTCACATTTTCGCATTAACTTGCATAACTGCCAATTAGAATGATTACAGAAATTAGTTAAGTAGTTAGGTAGGTAGATAGGCAAGAACATCGAAGTCATTATCAACCAGCACCACCACATTATTTAGTTAGTTAGCTAGTTTACATAAAATTTTATAGTCTATGTAGTCTCTAACGAACATTATGGTTACGTTGCCGCAAATCTGGTATTTATGTTTATTTGCAGAAAAATCAATGTTATACGAGCTCCAACAACCTATTAACCCATTAACAAAAATTCATAATACTTAACATTTTATAGGCAGGCATTAGCATTTTATAGAATGTTGCTATTAATGTGGGTTATTTGCATTAATCTACTACTATTTGTTGGTTTATCGGAGATGGAGCAGAGAAACCACTAATAGTAATATTGGCTTATTGGCAGAATTTCCAACTAATTCATTGAAATTAATTTCGCATAATGTATGCAGCATCATGATGTTGTTTTTGGATAATAAATTTTAAACGATGATGGAAAATAATGTTGAGTTTTATTTTCAATTAAATACTTAATAGGGGGTCTGGGTGGCGTATGATGTACAACATGTGTCATACGCCACCAATACCCTATATTAAATATTTAATTCTTAGACTAGATTTAAATTTATCTACCTATTTGAGGGGTTTTTCAATAAACCTTTAAATATTTGACTTGAATTGCAATTGAAGTATGGCAAAATATGCCATTAAGGAATAATCACAGAAATGTAGAATCATTCGGAGGATCACAATGACCGTTATTATCCAAAGAATTTCTTTCCCCCTAAAAAACAAAATGCACAACTACTGAGACATCTAATCTTTAAGGTCGGTCGGACAAACTTCCTGAAACCTTATCATAAAAGAAAAAATACAGAAGGAAAACTTTACAACTTAGCACGTGCTGAATTGTAAACTTCACATAACCCATAACGGAACTCATACAACCAACCATCTAACCAAACAGCCAATCTGTCTACTGGTTACCACCCAAGGTAATGATAACCTGAAATTCACTTTAGTTAGTCTTTGGAAGTAGACTAGAAAACTTTTTTCTTTAAAGTATGGCAATTTTTTCCCCAAAAAATGCAATATCATATGACATGTGCAGGACGACAACAACGACAATGACAAACAATGAATACAAAATCTAAGGAGGAGTGAAACCCGCATATCTCTCGATTTTCTTTTTTTGCACACAGAGTTTAAGTGGGTTCAAGATCAAAATTGAATTTTTCAAAATTACTTCTCCAAAGGTATTTGTTGTTCTTTTTGTTTGTGTTTGCAGGAGTGTGTGTGAGAAAGAGGGGAAACCAGTCAACACATGTAGACATGTGTATGCTGCTTCAAAAAAGGATCAAATTCAAAAACTAAAATCCAGAAATGCAAGCAAACAGACAACACAAACAACAAATTCAACCAAAATGCACAGATACGCACAGAATGAAACAACAGCAATGATGACGACAAATTTCAAGTATTATAATGGAAAAGTCTGAATATGATATCATTTTAATTAATTGAAAGAAAAATGTGGAGAAAACCAATATGCCAGCAGTTAGAATAGATTTACCCACCAACCCGGTATCTACTACTTAGGAGCTAACACATAACATAACTATGGGTGTGTTGTAATGTTTTGAAAGGTCTTTCCAAGAAGTTCGGAAGGGGATTTTTGGGGGTAGAAGTTTTAAAATAATTTAGAAAGCCAACTGCAATAGAAGTTTCAGTTGTAAGTTGTCATTACGCAGTGATATTTTTGAAATTAAACAATTTTGAAAGATGCGATATGCAGTTTGAATATAGTCAGTAGAAAGGATGTTTAAATTTTTTTGGCACGCGGAAAATTAGAAATAAATTTGCAGTAACTCAGAATTCAAATACTGTCACATATTGAACACATTGAAAAGAGACTGATTTCAAAATTTCTGAGGAAAGATATGTTGAATAGAAATTGGTGGAACTGCTAAGAGAGGAGCTTATAATATCTGGGAACTAAATGATTCTGAACCGTAATAACTGTCAGTTATGGAACTATCAGATCAACTTCCTTGATTTGTTCAAAGAAACTGACTATACTGATGAATCTTCCTAGAGCGAAAGAGATTATCCTAGTTCGCCAGATATATTCTAATATTTATGATAGCCAAGGGTAATCAGAGTTCGATTTAGACCAACCAGAATAACATGGGAACATAATCTTCATGTCTGTAATCTATTTGAAGAAATATAAAAAAATATTGGACTGACTGGAATTGTTGTACTATTTAGAGGAAGGAATGGACTACCAATAATATTTAACTTCACCTCAGCTATGCCCGGTACCAGCAGAGCCACTCTTGACAACTTTTTCAATACGAATGTGCATCACAAAATAAAGTAAGATTTGCTGGAGATCTCGATTGGACTGGTTTCAGGAAAGGAAATTGACTTCACCTCAGGTTGCAAAGTACCAGCAGGACATTATGATACTGTCATGCTATTTTAATAAATTAAACACGCTTAGAAAAGAATATATCAGGAAGATCACAAAGATTGGTTTGAAGGAATTGTAGCATAAAAAGTTGAGACCTTAAGCCCTTTTTTCAACGAGCTAGACGGACTCAAGAAGTTTCAAAATTCTTGCTTCAGATAGCTCTATTTGGGGAGGAATTAAAAAAAAAATGATAGTCAGAGGTCAGGCCACTGGAAGTTGGCAAAGCTTGGCTTCCGACAACTATCTTGATTTTTTAACTTCGTGAATACACGAATTGTTTTGAAATATTCGAAAGCTAGATGAGCAAATTCAGAAGGCTCGCTCTTTTTGAGGATCATAACGTTACACCTGGAATATTGATTACTATGCTTTCTTACAAAAAAATAAAGTCGACATGATGTTCACAAAGAATGAATTCCGAGAACAGTGTACGGTTTTCCAGTTTGAATACCAAGAATTGAGACCTAAGCATTTTCCTAAACAATTAGACAGTCAGAATGGCTGATTCAGGAAGTATTATGACTTTGCTCCTGGTTGAATAATAGGCTAGTAACCATCACTGATTCCTAAAAATTTCAAGTCTACAATGTTTGGCTTCAGAGAACGGTTTAAATTATGAATTGGAATATCCGAAACGAGTTCCTTATTAAACAAGCCCGTTGAACAGATTCAGGAAGTTCGCTAGGTGTCATAGAAAATTCTCTTTTTATATTCAAATATTAGAAAACAATTAGCCTAACCGACTATGGGAACCAACAGACATTAAGAAATAAATTTCAAGTCTACAATGTTTGGCTTCAGAGAACGGTCTAAATTATGAATTGGAATATCCGAAACGAGTTCCTTATTAAACAAGCCCGTTGAACTGATTCAAGAAGTTCGCTAGGCCTCATAGAAAATTCTCTTTTTTATATTAAAATATTAGAAAACAATTAGTTTATCATCGTCCCGTTTTTGGAAGAATTCAGAAATAATTTGCCACTGAAATCTGAAGAGGATCCCTAAAAACTATTTCACTTAAGTAGTGTACGGAAACTGAAAATGGAGACCGATACGGTGATCATCGGTGATCAGTAAAACATCGGAAGTACCTTTAAAATTATTAGAACGGAGTATTGACGAAAAACTCCAACATTCCGAAACGGGTGAAGGTTAATTGTGTGATGCAGGGGAACGTCCACTGCTTCAAATTGGAACAGAGAAAAATACCCAAGGGCTCTGAAAAAGGTCGATTTTGTGTCGGATAAGGGGGGACGTAAGTTATTTTAATCGGTATTTTGATGAATTGCAATTCAAACATCAATTCCGAGACTGAGCAGGAATAGATTTCAGATTTTTTATACAAATTCTCCTACTAGCGTTTCACCTGAACTATAAAATAAACCTCTTAAAGAGGGAATTTATTAGAAATTGGAGCGAAAGTCGGATATAAAAGTAAAAATGTTCACAAAGTTTGGAGGAGATATATCTTTCTGAACTGAATCAGGACGCGTTGAAAATTAATTTACCACTCAAAGTTGTTAAGGGACAGCGCAATAGGAGATGTAAGTGAAGATTTCCCACAGAGATGGTAAACTGACAGTGGATGGAGGATCATATTTTAGAAATTGTAACCTATGTGTAATCGAAACAAATATTTTGAAGCCTATTAGGTACGAGAAATCACGAATAAATCCAAAATTGTAAACCGAGTGGAAGTTAAATAGCTAAGGAAGGTGGATAGATCAAAGAGGTTGTACAATGGTTAAAGTGTTCTGTAGAAGACTGCCTGATTATTTACAAGATTTTAAGATATGATAAATGGAGGGGACAGGGGATACAACAAACATTCAGAATAGTATTTTGTTAATTTCTAAAAAAGTCATCTTCATTTCGCTTGGATATGAAATAAATATAGAATGAATGAAACAGGAAATTCAGTATATAATTATTTTCATCAGCTCTCAATCTTCTGCAAATTTAAATGGTTTTTTTTGTGGCCTCTGCTGTAAAATTTGCTCTCCCTATATTTTTTTAGAAAATAACACAAAAAAGCTGTTCTCACTTACCGTTGGATTTTGATCTGTCTTCAATTCGCGATGATTTGAAAATTGTACATAGACCATGCGTCCGCGCATTTGTGGTGGATTAACATTATAGCACGATACCATTGAGGTGGCCGATACCTCATCGGCCATTTCTAAGAAAGCTTGATTTTTACCCTTTAGCACCAGGACATTTGTAACGCGACCGAATGGTACACCCAAGGCAATGACATCGGCATCACTCGATTCATTGGGAATGTTGCGCAAATGTATTACTTTTGAGGGTTTACCTGGAAAGAGAAGAGGAAAATGAAAATACATTTATTAATAATGAGATTTAAAACTTGAAATAAGTTGAGGGGAGAAATCAAATAAGTTACAATAAGGGATTTGCTCATTAACTTTTGGTGTTTTAATAATTTACAACAATATTTTCCCCTTCAATACAGAACAAGTTGCAGTAAATGTGCTGGCGACATGCAACACTTTAACACCTTTGATGATGCTGGGGTTGCAATAATCCCCTCTTCGATGAAAAAGGGAAACATAACAGCAGAACAATCTCAATAAATAAATAAATTTTTCATTTTAAGTCCAAAAAACAGCATCAAATTGTTCATATACGAAGGGAAGGAAAACTATGAAAGCTTAGTTTTTACACCAAGCATCCAAACTCTGTAGCATATTCTCAAAGTTTAGTGAACCATGGTGCCACACAACAAAACTGCAGCAACAACAACATCACTATGAAACTTTTAAATCCCATTTGTTTTTATAAACCAAGGGGATTTCTCGTCTTTGTCTGCTAGTTTCATTTTCCAGCTAGAGAGAGAGAAGTGCTTGCTAGGTTAGATGGAAGGCCAATTGTAAGTTGCATAGGTGTACCGAGACACATTGTAGTGCCCCGAAAAAAAAAAAACAAATCACCTGCAAACAAACAAATTGTAACAAACAACCATTTACAGGACCGACCACCATCACCGCCACCAATTCAACTTTGGCAGTAAACGGATATATACCCTTGCCTGTAGTTAGTAAAAACCTACATTTACTGACACTGGTCGGTCTCTCTTAGTCGTAGTAGTTGGAAGGACATTACAGAGCGGTAAATTAAGTATAACAATATTTTTGTTGGCCTTAATGCCAGGGAGACACTGAGAGAAAGACATTTTCGTTACAGTATCCTAAAAGTATGCACCACTTGGGGAAGGTTTCCAATTTGGACCTTAAGAATTTCAGAATGAAGTCTGTGCTAAATACTTTCCATGATTATCAACAAATTATCTAATGATATCCAAGCGAATCATGCCTAAATGAAGTATTAACTTTTGGGTTGCCTAAAAGTAGGCACTACTATTTGAAACTTCTGAAAACATGTGTAGTTTTCAATTATGATATTATGTTAATCGATTGAAGCTGGAACTTAAAGTTAACTGATTTGGATGCTTAAAAGTAGGCAATATTATTTGCAACGCCTAAAAATGTGTGTACCTTAAAATATAATTTGCTAAAACAATTTTTGAATGCCTAAAAGTATGCTAACTCAAACGAAAATATTTGTACAGTTTGTGATTAAGACTGTACACAATGTTAATATTTAATAAAAAACCTCTAAAGATCCAAGGGCACTATTTCCGGACCGATTAACTTAATTTCGTGCCTAAAAGTATGCTGCAAAATATATCCTAATTCTTTTCTCAATGTATTCATAATTTTTCGACATACCCTGCAACTATATGGAAGGACATTACAGAGCGGTAAATTAAGTATAACAATATTTTTGTTGGCCTTAATGCCATAGATACACAGAGAGAAACACATTAAAAACCGTGTCCTAAAAGTATGCATCACTTACTGATGATTTTGTAAATGAGATAAATTTCTGAATGGAGCCTTGGCTAAATATTTTCCACACTAATCAGGAATCACACTAATCAGGAAAAAGAATCATGTATTACTGAAGAAATAACTTTTTCAATGCCTAAAAGTCGGCACCGATATTTGAAGCTCATTAAAATATGTATATTTTCTCTGATACATTCTCTCATGAGGCAGGACCGAAACTTAAGTGGTTAGCTGCTTGAAAGTAGGCAATATTTGAGAACCATTTAATTTCCTTTGCGCCTAAAAAGATTCCCTAAAAAGTGTCCTCCTTTTTTCTCAATGTATTGATAAAATTTTCGAACTACTCTGTGCCACTACTATGCTAAGGCCACTAACATGATTATGAAAAAATTGTGTTGCATGTTGCAACAAAATAGACTCTCCTCCAGTTGGCACTACAACTACTACCTGTAAGAGTATTAGCTGTAATATTCTCGCAATGAATTTATGATTGCTTTGGGGCCAAACTAACTAAGCCTGAACTATGTGCAAAGACCCTAAAGAGGATGCTAGAAACTGAAAATAAAAAAGCGGCAACAGCAACAAAACCCAAAATGCTAATGTTGTCGGGGGTCTGAAAACAAATACTGCAACAAATTTGTTAGACAAATTAAAGAGCGGCTAGCCAGCCAACCAAGCAAAGCAAAACTTGAGCATAAAATTTGACAACAAAAAGCCCTATCAATACTTGGTGAGGTAAAAATATATTTATTGTTGGAATATTTCGATTTAAGGGTCCGGAGGCCACTTGTTGTTTAGTTCACCCTATTAATTCATTATTACAGAGAATTTTTAGTTTTGTTTCTATTTTAAGGACTGATTTGTGAAGAAGGGTCAATGTTTGCTGTTCACTTTACGAAATCGGGGTTGCAGGGATGTTCTATTTTTTATACCATATTAGTTTTTTTATTTTTAAATACCAGCAAAACTTTGAACTGCAGAACTAGAACTCAAAAAGAGGCTAGCTAGGCTGTTCAAATGGTAGATGAACAAAAAATATGAAATAAAAAAAGACTGAATGCAGCAGCATCAATACCAAACGGAAATTACACTTTCTGATTAGTTCGTAACGGAAATAAAAACTGAAAATAAATTATGCATAGGGCGGGCGGGAGACGGTGGCGAGGCTTATGAAAAGTAGGCAAGTAAGGAGGCTGGACTGGCAGATAGGCTTCGCCTGGGTAAACTGAGCAATGGACAAGTTCGGAAAAAAACTGAAAGGCATACAAAAAAAAAAAAAAAAAAAAAAAAAAATGTTACAAACAGCAACCGGTGACGTGAATGAAATGTGACTTTGGCTGACTGGGCTATACACAAGAGGAAACAACAGAAAAAAAATGTAATACATGTTGAGATATATAAAACAAACAAAAAGGACAAAAAGTGGAAATATTGATGCTCATATTTCACTAGTTCAAACAAGTTTTGTGATATACGATGACATTCCATAACTAATACATCAAATTTTCGTTTGGGAAGTAGAGGGAAAAACACAACAAATATAGAAAAATAAATCATAGAAATATTAGTGGTCTAAAGTGGTTTTGAGGATAAGTGGTCATTGTTATTGGAAGCTATTTAATGAACAATTTCCAATGTAGGGGTCTTTGAGTGAGGCTGTTTGAGAAAAAATGAGTTGATAATTTATTTCAGTTATTTGTTGACATTTCCGAGGATAAATAAATATCTAAAAAAATATCATGAAGATTATTCAAATCCTATTAAGGCCGCAAAATTTATAATTTGAATCAATCACAAGAGCCTAAAAGTATACATCACACATGCAAATGGATTCCATTTTAACGAATTTCGAAAAATTAAAGTATATGAGAAATTAAGTATATCTTCCTCAGGTTCGTATGAATTTTTTTGGCGTATAAATTTTATTCCTAGCTTTATTTATACTAAATTCTTAAGATAATAAGAGTCAGCTGATCGCTTTTGCGAAAAAGGTGCCTAAAAATATGCAACATACATGGAATATGAGGAATATGGAATATGAGAATTGGATTTGAGACATGCATATGTTGGCTTTGTATCTCAGACAGGACAATTTATTAATGAAAAATGTATTTGAAAGGACAGGTAAAAATAATATAAACAGTTGACTGCAGTTAACAAAAATAATCCTAAAATTATGCAACGAACATGTCATTTGAAGAAAAAAATAATATCATTGATTTTGAGGAATGTATATTCTTAAGACTGCATAGTTCGAAAAAACAAACTCATAAAAATTGATTACAAGCGGTTGAAATGATAATTTACCTCCTAATAATATAATCAGCTGACTACATTTACAAAATAAAAACGCCTCAAAGCATGCAACAAACATTGAAATTGCAAAAAAAAAAATCAGATCATTGAGTTTAAAGCATGGTTACCTAGCGTAGGAAAACACAATCATCTTCATCTATGACTTGCAAAATCAGCTGATAATATATAAGCAGCAAACTTGAAATATATACATATATATATATATATAAATAAAAATACCCTGCAAAGAGTTGACGAGATGGGTTTGTAGCCTTCTACGAAGTCAGGAAATCACAGTCCGACAAATTTGTACTATATGTGACTTATGCTTGGATCATTATCCTGATAAGATTTAAAATGTAGCTTTATGACCCTAATAAACCCAAAGTATAAGCTAAGTCACCCATGCGTTTGACTTAACAATTTTGCGAGTTGCTTAGCCTAAAAGTATGCACCACACTTGATAACAAAAATATAAATTTTCATTTGAATAGCTTAGTATGATCTCTAAAATATTTATATATAATTTCAATTGATTTAAAACAATGGTAAATCTAGTCCATAAAGGTAAGATACCTATTTCATGAATTTTTTTTTAGCCTAAAAGTATGCACAGTTTATTTATATTTATTGGGAACCTAGCTAAGGCCGAATACAATTATTTCAAATTCTGCTGTTAAATCAATTTAAAAAAGTTTTTATTTTCCTCCATGTAAGCCAAAAAAAAGGAGACAAATTCGCAGATTTATGTCTGCCGCCTTCAATGAGGAATGCCTCAATTTTTTCTCTCAATTGTATATAGACGAATGTTAAAATATACAAATATTAAAACCTAATACAACGGAACATATGTTCAGAATGCATTTATGCAAATATTAAACGAAACACAACGATAAAGAAATCTAGAGGAAAAAAATCTCATATTTAGTTTTTTGTTTAACTTCGTAGTAGTAATGCAGCCTGTGAGTCTCTCTCTGTGTGTGTGATGTACGGAATGAGGGAAAAACCTATTTTCCTAATTGAAATGCAATTAAAAACTGCACTTCGTTTCCATTCTCCCCCACCACATAAATGTACTTGTAGGAATCCTGGCTGCCCCACAGTATTCCCCTCACATTTTAAGCCATGGTAAAATAGTGTAACAGGCAAA